GTATTACTAAATTAGCAAAGATTCAGCATCACTATACTTAAACGCAGCCCTGCTCCAGAAAGCCACTTCAGCCAAGTTTCTAAGCCTAATTTTGCCACCACAATTATAATTTAACGGAACCTGCTTCATAAAATCACACGACCAGGTGGTTAGGACGCTTGAGTCGCGGGTTCGAATCCCTGCCCCACCAAACTAGCTCGTCCTTTCAGCCGTGGAGGCGTTATAATGTGACGGTCAATCCCACTATTTGTTGGTAAAAAAGTACCCCTAAAGTTGGCGGTGGTGATGACTAGCTGCCTTCTCTCTAGTCTTACACTGCTAAATTAGGGACGGCTAGCGCAGATAGCCCTCGTGTAGCTTTGTGCGAAATTCAAAAACAAATCAGAAAATCACTTCAGCTAAGTTTTGTGCCACTACAATTGTACTGTTGTAAGTAATATTTTCAATTTAGATGTTGGCTAGAGGGTGCATGTTGTTAAAATAGTCCTAGGAAATCTATAATGTTCCAAATACAAATGGACCAGCCAATTAGTAAGTTAGCAGTGAAAAATTGTTTTTTTTTGTTGTTTTTTTAGTTGTTAAAGTGCCAGTAATTCAGGAAAATATTCAATTTTAGTGAAATATTTGGATCAGTGTTAGTTATTGCATATATATATAGTTATTTTATTGATTAGCCATTATACTGAAACGTTATTTGACGTGGTTAAATAGCAATTTTCAAAGAGCTAGAACTTCTTTTGTAATCCACTTTGATGTTCCAGTTAGAAGATTCGGAATGCTAATAGTTTGAATCCTCAAGAGGAGGAACTGGTCTGAACCATTCTGCCCCAATTTAACCCATGGGCATTCGTAAACCTAGGTCTACAAGTACAACAAATGATAGTAACCTGTACCAAACGTTAAGGAAGAAATAACCTAATTTGTTATCATTAAATGTACTGTACTTGGCATTATTTTCATCAAATAATTTATAACAACCAGCCCAATGAAAAAACAGCGTTACAAGACTAAAGTCAGAACTGGGATTATTTTAATGAAAATAAAATAGAACTTCGAATATACTTGAAATTGGGCGTCAGTTGTGTAAGATGGCGATCACAAGGTCAAGAAGCGAAGTCGAAGCTTTGCTAGAAATAATGAAACACTGAGAACAAGAAGAAAGAGACTAAACATTAGATGAATAAGACAAAAACTTAAAAAGACAAGAGGTAAGAAATACAAAGTTGACAAAGTAAAGAAAGACATTAATAAGGTGAAAAAGAACAGCAGTAACAGAATAAAACAACCAGAAATGTATTAAATACAAAGATTAAACCAGCCTCACCTATTTCTGCATCAACTCAAGAGTTCCAACCTAAAATACAATATACTAAAAGTATGGAATAGGATAACTTATTTGGTCTACACCTATCACCACTAATAAAAGTGCTAAACCTTCCTGTATTACTACACCCATATGACTACCAAACCCAGTTTCAAAATTTTGCTGGTCAGTTCTACATTGGTCAAGTGAGAAACCATTTGAATACGATGTAAAGGTACCATGGGAAGCATACCAGGTTCAATTTGAAATAATTTTCAGAGTGAATGGGTGGAATAATGAATGCAAGTTATTCCTCTTGATGACTATTTAAAAGGGCCAGCTTTTACAACATTAAGTAACTTTCCAGCTGAAAGCCATATAAACTAAGAGATTCAGAGCAACATATAAGAAGGAGGTATACAGAGTAAAGTTCTGGAACAAGGTATAGATGAAATAAGATACCTTAGCTGAACTCGCAGACGATTTGGAAAGGTTTGCTTAATTATCTCACACAGGTGCTCCGCGTGCAATGATAGATTTATTGGCATGCAATCAATTTACAGATTCCAAACAGATGATGATATCAGAATTAGGCTGAAGAAAAGTAGTATTATACCTTTAAAGGAAGCTTTACTTGGCAATGGTACTATAATCCATTAATGTAAACAACTAAAGGCACTATCTCGAAGTTACGTGATCGTCAGATCGCCTAGTATTTAAATATTCTCCCCCTTTGATGATTGTCCAGAGGAACTGCAGGCAAAAGCTTGTAGCGAATAAGAATGATCTGGGAAAGAGGAAACTTTTATAGAGGTAAGAAATCTAGCCATTAAATACAAAGATGACTCTTCAAGCTTAACCAAGCTGAAGAAACAACAGAGAGCCAGACACTTCGAAATAAGAATTAGCTGGACTGAAAGTATCTCATCTGCCCCAAATGAGGTATTATTTAAAGAAACAAGTCTACAGGTTTATTAATGGGAAATCTTGCAGAATATTGATTGACACTGGCTCTACAGCTACAATAGTTTATTGACCCAGTTTGGTAATGAAAGGTGGGAACTTGCTCCCAGAGTTGAAGAAAGGAGTGGGAGTGATGCAAACAGCAATTGGACATACTGTACTCCCATTTAGAGAACTGTCACTCAGAAGAGTCTTAAACGGAATATGGAGAGAAATTAAAGAACACCATCAATGTGATATATGACTCTACTTGGACAAGACTTACATTAGTCAGTGATTAAAATGAAAAGTCAGTATGATGTTAATACCGATAAGACTGGATTTCATCAAGTTGATATAGTATGACTGTACAATCTTCATCATAAGTTAAGCATGTATTGTGAATTCACATATGATGTACTGAAAGGAATAAATGATGTGGTTTACAAAATTCAAAAGGATAGGTGATCTAAGCCAAAGGTCATCCACTTTGAAAATAAATTGGTGAGAGAATGTCTAACTGGGTAACTCCAGCAAATAATTTGCAGGCTGAAATCGGCCTTTTGAGGAGCCCAAGGTTCTTATTAAGAAAATTTCATTCAGGATACAGCCGCCAGTGGATTCACTCAATCATCTACCCAAGAAACACCCCCCCATCAACAAGACGGTAATGACAAGGCACAAGAGGCCCTCCCATCTGTATACCATGGGCCTCGGAAGAGAAAACCTTCATAAAGACTTGATGAATGGACAGGTTAGCGTAGTGTTTTATTTCTGTATTAAGATTGTTCACGGGGCTTCACAATTCAGGAAGGGGGCAGTGTTGTAACATATATTTTCAATGTTAGCTAGACAGTGCATAACATTAAAATAGTTCAAGAACACTTATCATTTTCTAGATGTCGTTACAAAAATCTAGTAACTTCGATATCAGATATAAATACGAGTAGACCAGTGAATTAGTAAGGTAACAATAAATCAGTGAAGCATTGAGTCAGTTTTTTGTTGTTGTTTTTTTCAGTTGGTAAAATGCCAGTAATTCTGTGAAGCATTTGGATCAGTATTCGTTATTGCGTATGTTAAATCTCTCGCTCGATTGGCTGTTAAATTGTACATGTAAATTTATTTGTACGGGTACGTATGTCAGTCGTAGTACCATTACTGAGGTATTTTTGTTGAAACTTCATTTGTAAACTTATGCGTACAAGTATAACTGTGTACAAAAAGTTATAGTAACCTGTAGCCAACGCCAAGGAAGAAATAAACTAATTTGTTATAGTTACGTGAACTGTACTTGGCTTTATTTTTACCAAATGATTTAAAACAATCAGCTCAAAAAAAAAAAAAGAAGAACGTTACAATACCCTAACGAAATTTTCTTCCATACAACCATTTCAGCTAAGTTTCTTGGCCTAATTTTGCCACTACAGTTATACCTTAATGAAATTCTGCTCCAGACACTCACTTCGTGTAAGCCCCTTAGTTTAACTTACGGTAACTTATGTTTGTTATCATAAATAATATGACAAAGAAAGCCTGGAAAAGAGTCAACTATATAAGAAGTTCAGCTGGCAACAATAGCGGTGTTTCAGCTGAAATTCTCGTCAAAATTTATATAGAAGATTAGTATTTGAGTATAAAAGTCCAAATCATATCTTTTTAGATTAAATTTTCTATATAAAAATTAAACCATCATGTGTTGCCAGGTAGACTTCTTCAATTTTCGGTTAACTAATTCAGTAAAAACTGTGCTAATGAACCTTGGATATATGAAACTGCAGCCCACATCAGAAGGTACGGCGAGTCAATGAATATATTAGGTCTCTACGTAACAGATTATATTTTCTTTTCTTCGTTTTATATAATTTTCGGTTTTATATATAACTTTGGCTGATTTCCAGTTCACAGGGTAGTCTAAATCTCTTGTATGGAGAAATATTTCATTATTTATATTTTCGTTCTTAATGGGTTTTTTTTAAATTTAAATATAGAATTACAGAACACAAGAGGAATTTTAAAAATGGGGAAAAAAATAATGCAATATTTCTCCATAAAAAGTCGTCTGAGAAGAAATTTTCCAACAAAGTCTCTTGTGTGGCGAAATATTGCATCATTTGTGTTTCCGTTTGTAATGTTCCTTTTGTGATTTGTTATTCTTTTGTTAATTTTTACACTACTGCATCATTCCCGAGTTGTGTCCCACTTCATGGTAGGATAAAGTTGTTGTTTTTTTTCATGTATGTGACCCTCACAGATCACCAAACATCGACCTAAACAACGGCATAGAGAAAACGTCCTACGCCCATGATATGTCTGTGTATTCGATCAAATGGCTTGTAGTTTTAAAGGTGGTCAAGATGTTATCTTTTGAAATCTGTTTGTTTTAAGGATAGCTTTTGAACAATATAATGAGTATTACTATCTGTTAATAAATTTCAGCTTTCAAAACACGCGCAATCACACACACACACACACACAAATGCAATTTAAATATAAAAGAAAATGAACTTAAGAAGCTTTTCCGAGTTGCAGAGGAAAATATTGAACCTCACTTGGAGAAATATCATAATATTAACATTTACCTGTTTACAAACTTGTGCGAGAAAAAAGTAGCTCTTTGTAAGTTCATGACCAAAATTCCATAAAGTGTTCGTATTTATACGAAAATGAGATGGATAAAGCGACTATGTTAATGTTATAGACATTTAAGGGAATTATATAAGCTCAAGACACTCGAAACTTTTTCTATGCACTTTATTTAGCTTTGTACCTTAAACAAACACATGTAAAGTGTTTAACATATATCAATTTCAATGTATCAAGATTTACACAAATATCGCTCCCTGGTAGTCAGAATCAATTCATCGGAAAAACTTGGTCTTCTTTAGAGAGTCTACATTTGGCTAACTCTGCAGTTTCTTTCTGTAGGTGCACAAGAAAACTTTCATTGAAATAACAAAAATATCATAAAAATTATCCGAAGACTTACGATGTTTCGTGTAAAAACGTTGGCTTGTTTAGTTAAATAGGGGAAATTATTGCTGTTTACGATAAAAAATTCTCACATGAAAAAAATCAACATTCTTGAACCATTGTGAAATTGATATAAGACCCAATTATAAAGTGTCGAGCTTATAATTTTTGTAACAATTACAGATCTGTTGATAATGTTTTTGATATTTTGAGGACTATTGCAAGGTTTGAATTTTGGAAAAGTAAGTAAGTCAATATGTGACTCAGATGAGGAGAATCGCCACATAATTTAAATATATTTATCCGACTGTCGCTGTTTTTGCTTTTGCTTTTTCAGGGAAATTAGTTAAATAAGTCAAAAACTTTACGACAAGCTAAAATACTATATTACTGTAACATGACTTTGTGGAAATTTCTTAAGGGGCACACACGCGTTTGCTTCAGCGCTCGAGTGGAATTAATGAAAGGTATTTACCTCTAGAAGATCGTGAATCTTCATAAGCGAGCGAAGACCTGTTAAGGAACAATCTTCCGACCTCTTCCCTGCCTGCCAGCTTTTGGAGAACGTAATCTGTCCTTCAGTATCATTGGTTAGCAGAGCAGCGATCAGAAAGCAGACAAGAAGCATGTAGGGTAGACAAATCTGATGTTCCATGTCCATAAATCCTTCACGGATAAATATTACAAAGTAGGGAGATATGGCTCAATTTAACAAACTAAATAAAAACAAAAATGGAATTAAAAATGATTATCTAATATTAAAAAATCAGAAGGTACGACCCAAATTAATCACAATACGGTCATTTCTCTAACAAAGATCAAAGATTTGGAACCTGGATATATTTAAAAACTAAGTAACTAATGCCCAGTATAGTACTAAAGATACAAAGAGGCTCAGTCTGTAATTGACCACAGGACAAAGAAATCTTTACAATAACTTGCCGCAGGACAGGAAAAAATATTACAGTAACTAATTGTATGAAATAATCTCTATTTCAAAAGTGGTCACGTCCAAGGAAGAGTTCCTGACATCATGTAGTTTATTACACGACAAAAAGGGGCACACATCTGATTATTCGATTGTCAGAGAAATATTTTTCTCAACTGACTACAAAACAGAAGATTAAACTTCTTACTAATAACAGGTTTTAAGCCATTCAGTCATCATATAAGTTACAAATAAAATAAGGCTAACTGTTGTTTAAAGAAATTACTCAGTAGCAAGGTTTAACGATCTAAATTTTTGTTGTGTGTTTATATTTTTCAGTGGTGAAATATTATCAACACAAAACAAAAATTATTGCTAGTGATCAACATCTTTTTTATTTTTGTCTAACAATCATATATATGAATACAAATATGTTCTTATTAACACAAACATGCTCTTATTGAAGATAACACATTTGTTCAGCAAATAGCATTAACACATACCTAACGATGTGTCAGCAACTTCTTCGCTTTCCTTGTTAGAGTGTATACAGCTACACATGACCAATAGATTGCCATTATTTATACCCACTAATACCAAAACTGCGCATGCGTTCTACACAACCAGCTCATTCATATATAAATATTATCTGAAATTTATTTTTGGTTAAGTTAATCTCCTGAGTAGTGAAGTTTTTATATTCATATTCAGTAGACTGAAAACAACGCCAACGTTGTTTATTTTTTTACCACCTAGTAATGAGTGATGAATCTTTTAAACGAAAAGGCGATTCATTTTTCAATTTTATTTTGTAATGAAATATCTACTAATGAGTAAATTACTTGAAACAATTTCTAGATTATTATGAAAACATTGAGTTATCACAAGTAATATAATATTATTACAGATTTTTTTTATTAAAGAAGTCTATAATAATAAAAAAAAACTGTAATAATAAATCGATTTAACATGGGACTAGGCGTTTCAGATTGCGGATCTCTAGGTTCGAGGCACGAGCTAAGGCATGAGGGCGCGCTATAGGCAAGTCTGTTATTCTTTTATAGGAGCCAACAAAGCCTTTGTGGCAGCTGACTGGCTACCTTCCGTCTGGTCATTAGTTCAAAATAAAAATAGTAATAGCCGAACCGTAGAAGCCTCTGACCTGACTGTTTAGTTCATATAGGCGTAAGGTGCCATTCAAGTTCAAAATACCAATACTATGAAAATTAGAAAAAATAATACAGATTTATTACTTTCCAACAGTTTGTAGTCATACTTCCAGAACTACAGTAACCTTCTGCCACCCTGTAATGCATTAGAGGCAATTTACTACAACTCAATTAAATGAAACAGGCATACAACAATGATGCATTGGAAATCTATGTGGCGATTTTCCACATTACTCATAAAAAGGCCCGGCATAGCCAGGTGGTTAGAGCGCTTGACTCGCAATCTGCGGGTCGCGGGTTCGAATCCCCATCCCGTCAAACATGCTCGCCCATTAAGTCGTGGGGCTTTATAATGTTCCGCTCAATCCCACTAATCGTTGTTAAAAAGATTAGCCCAAGAG